AATCAGTATTGTACTCAAAACTGTACAATGACTTCTTTACTATACAGACCCCAATTTTTGACATTTCGACACATTTTTACTACATACATGTACAATAAAATTTGATATGGATTTTTGGACTCTGAAACTGAAACAAAGCCAGATAGAGCGTTTGATAAAAATCTTTTGGACACTGAATATAACATCGAGGCTATATAGGGTACGATATGCATTTGATATGGATTTGTTGAACTATAGAAAAATCATTGATTAGACTAGATCCGACAGTTCATTGGTAATATTTTACAAGGTGTTAAATAAATACGTATAATAAGCTGGTAAATATATGCAGCGCTTACAACAATACTAGATGTCAGTTAGATCGATTGACATTTGTAAGATTATTATTTCCAATCGAACACGCAGATTGTCGGATAGTAATAAACAAATTAGAAATTGCTACTTTAAAAGTGTCTATTGTTAAAGGTGAATTACTAAGAAGCAATTTTGTGTTCTCCTATCAGACAATCTCTTGTGTCTATTTCCGCAGAAAATCTATTTATAGCCTGACATTCTGACAAGGTCAAGAAAACCAATCAACACTAGAGGGAATGTTTCTAATAATATCGGGCAACCATTCTTAGATTGTGAATTAAAAGTGGTGTCTGGAAGGGCACAGTTCCGTAAACTGTGAAATACTGTCTTAGTTCTTACTTCACGATAGTCACGTACATTTGAAAAATACCCTATCGAAGTAAATTTGCGGTTATTTTATTCAACATAACTGTTTTTCTGATTCTTCCGATAAACACGTGTTGCACGAGTAAAATTACTTTCTGATTCAAGATAATACGAAATTACTGATTAATGCCAAATTAATCACAAAATGTTATTTTACACGTTTTGATAGATGTATGATAACCGGTGCCAAGAAGGGTACAACCTGTGAAACTGTAACATGCAAATCTATTTTTGTTTTCAGAAATCTTATTAAAATATATCTCGAGTTTTTGATGCACGATAGTTACGTGCATTTAACGAATTTCGGAGTTATTTTATCTCTTATAATGTTAAAGGTAATTGCTGGTTCTTAATATTCAGAAATGCACGTGATGCACGAGCACTATCAGTTTCTATTTCCGAATAAAATGCAATTACTGCTTAATGCCAATTTAATCAAATTCCGTTATTTTACAATTTTCAATATGTAAAATAGTGAGTGTATATTGGACTGTGGTATGGATTTCTATAAAAATGGTGTCGATTCGATGCAAAACATATGACGCCAACGGGTGTTGCGATATTTATAATTCACATAAAGTAGGTTCAAATCAAGGAGATATGATCGTTTGACATAAAGTCTTTGATACATTATAAAAGATGAAAATAAAAAATATATATATATTTCAGCTTTATCTAAAAGGTATTTTTGTTGTGTTTGTTGTTGTTGTTGTTTTGCGTTGGGTTAATTCTTTTTTTTTTTTTTTTTTTTTTTTTTTTTTTTTTTGGGGGGGGGGGGGGGTCAATGGGTTACACATTTGATCATTCAGCTGAACAACGTGACAGATGGTCAATTTTTCTGGTAAAATAAGACATTAACTTGAACATATTGAACATATCGTTTTATCTTTTTACAGCAGAAGATATGATTTTATCATTCATTTAAGTGTGAAATAAATGTTTTCCTATAGCTATTTATTCGTCTGGGGGATCGCGTGCGGTTCGATAATCGGCTAAAACACGGAAATTCAACATTTGTATTCTGGCTATATTTATAGCTACCATTCTTAAATCTTTTTTATGTTTTTTTTAATGTTTTCATCAGATTTTATTTTCATTTAGCCTTTAAGTTTAAAATCATAAGAATATCCATAACTTTGTACTCAGTAGTGAATTTCCATTGATAAATAATTATGACGATATTGTTTTGTAATATTTTTAAATTTACATATACTAGTATTCTATGGACGGACCTTTTGTGCCGCTTATCTAAGTCGCTTGTATCAGTAATGTTTCGTTTTTCTCCGTTCTAAAAAAAATTCTTTTTAAATCCCACGTATAAAAAAGATAAAGATATTATAAAAATATATCGCTGTTAACAACGCTTATTCACTCCACAATTCAGGTGACACATACATATTTATATAAAATATTCATAAGTCATGCTAGACATTGCTTAATTCCACAAGAAAAGCACACATTAATCATCATCGATCCATCACAGTCATAATCAAGAAACCATTTTCTTCTTTTTCAGTTCGCTTTTATTGTTTATGTATAATGAATGCAAGTTTAAAAATAGTGTCCCGCAGATACGAAAGTACGCCGTATTGGAAACACAAAAATAGCGCGTTTGATTGTAATCTGTCGAATCGCCCGGTCACATCAATCCATTGTTTTTGACCGGACTACTTTTTTCTCTTTGTCAATAGTTGTATCGAGAGCGAGTTCAATCGATATTTTTATATAAAACGGCCCATATTTGAATGGGATCATGTGTCAATGATTTTTCTTGAAATCGGTTATTGTCGCTTGCCGATGAATAATTAAGTTTACTGTCGCAGATGGTACAGATGAAATAAGATAAGTTGCGCCCAGTGAACTGTTATAATCTAATATAGACAGATCCATTAAAATCACGAAATGCCATTTGCGGAAAGTTACGCTTGCTGATGATAAAATAAAAATCGAATTTCGAACTTTTAGTACTTTTTAATCTGCGTCGATACATCATAATATTAATCGATTCTTTGTTGTATCAGCTAGGGAAGCTGAACAATATCTGTCTCCTCCGGTTATTCAGGGTCTTTCAAGTAGAATCTATTTGAAAGACCCCGAGTTATATTAGAATATGTTCAATGTCAATAATATAATAATAAATGCTGCTTAACAGTAAAGTTCTAAATAAAAAGTATGATATAAATTTGATGAGTAATAAATAATGGATCTCTACTCTGACCTTTTATTTGAATGACAATATATTTAACTACAAACATTGACATGTGTGCTTTTGTTAACGGTGATATTATTATTGTATCCGCTATATGAGCCGCGCCATGACAAAAACAACATAATGGGTTTGCGACCAGCATGGATTCAGACCAGCCTGCGCATCCGCGCAGTCTGATCAGGATCCATGCTGTTCGTTATCAGTTTCTCTACTTGTTATAGAGTTTGTAAGCGATCAGCATGGATCCTGATCAGACTGCGCGGATGCGCAGGCTGGTCTGGATCCATGCTGGTCGCAAACCCATTATGTTGGTTTTGTCGTGACGCGGCTCATATATGATTATGTATGACAGGTCAGGGAATGGATGGTGAATTCTTGGTTTCTACTACTTTCTGTATTGGATAACGGCAGTTGTATGTGACAATATATAGTAATAAATGACTGAAACATTGTTCGAATTCTCGAAGAACTATTTCTGTGCTGGTATGACTTGTAATTGGCATTTTTCTAGTCACGTGTTTGTTATTGTATATCAGCCCATTTAGAAAATGAATAACTTCATTACTTTTTTTCGTATTAGTGTTTGTACCTGTTTACTCGAGATACATCAGGATCTGTTTAAAATATGTATAAGGTCAATTTTTCTTTATTAACCATGTTTTGTGTTGTTTTTTTCAAGGACGACATGTATTTCAATGTCAATCATAAAGCATTTAACGCATGGTACAAATCTCCGATTGTGCTGTTTGACTTTTTTGTAAAGGGAAGCAACTTCTAAAAAGTTATCATCACAGTAAACTACACAGTTTTCTTTCTTTTTCAAATTTCAGGCTTGTTTTAAAAACACAAGCAACAACATGTTATCAAAGTAATAGATTTATTATTAAAATATCTACTTATCGACTCTAAAACTGTCTGGAGCAAAAGCAAAGCTCACCTGTTACCCTAAATACTTAAATGAGCAGATAAAAGTACATTCACACAATTTTTCACTAAGTTTCACACATGTAAAAGCTTAAATGCATTGTTGGTGTAACATATTTACATGCATTACATATGATAACAGGTACGTTAAATAACATAGCTTAAATTTTTGATTGTATACAGTCAAACCTATCATATAGACCACTTTTAGATGAAAGTTAACTCAAATTTATTTTATTTAGAATATGCAAAAACACTGGTCTAAATAAACAGGTATGACTGTATGGTAAAATCTGATGTTTTAAACTATTTATCTGAAAACCCCCCCCCAAAAAAATCAACAAATTCAATATGAGTGAAATATCACAACTGATAAAAATCAAATTTTAAGATCCATATGATCTAGTATTATCAAAATTTAAGTAAAGTTTCAGACATTTAAAAAAATCTTGAATGAATTAGTATGTATTATTCTGACTTTACTAGGAGAGAGGGGGATTACCGTTCTTCATGAGCATTACTGTCATACCCTAGACATGGACAGCATTTATTGTTCTTCCGAGCTTGGACAAGTTCAAGAAACAGGATATGAAAGTTGTCATGTAAAATAATATGAATATTCATGAATTTGAGACTCATAAAAAAAAATAAAGTAAATTATCAATCAATTACATATGGTTTCAAATTTAAGATTAAGTTCATCATATAATACAATTTAAAATGATCATTAGAACACAGTTTAAATACAGGCGTATGAAATACATAATGTACTCAACGTGAATGCACTGTGCATGCTAGTATTTTCATACCATCATCTTTCAATTGATTACTAAAAAAAGACTGTTAATATATTTATTAAACTAGCATCAGCAAAAACAAATCCATGTTATATGAGTGTTTGATAATTAAAAAAAGATTATTTGAGGATAATTTACATTGATAAAAATAAATTTTTGAATTTCTGCTTTTTTATGTAAAAAATCCTTTTTCATGTTAGTATTTTTATCTAAAAAATTAATAGTTATATTCCAATATATTTCTTAGATTTTTGCTGATGCCCAGATTACCACAATTCTTGCCAACCAAATGTCAGACTACTGTATTATATATAATTACATTTAACAGATTAAAATTACCTTACAATTAATTGGCAGTTTGTAAATCACATGATGCAATATGAGTCATAGAAGCACCAGCATCTGGACAATATGGATTATAAACTCTAATTAAATAACAAATCTCTAAATATATTACTGACCATGAAAGATATTTACATCACCTGAATGTTTCAATTTGCTCAAACCACAAGAATACACTTAACAAATCTTATAATTGTGCATGTAAAAATGATCTCATATTGGTATAAATATTTGCTCGATCATGCTGAAATTTTCAATAAATTAAGTTCAGAGAATAATGGAATAACATAGTATGTCTCCAACTGTATCTGTTGAAAATCTAAGAATGCTGGAGCCAATATTGAGCCAAAAATATGAGACCATTTATATATGCACACTTAAGATTTTTAAGTGTATATCTCAAGGAAAGTTTCTGCTCAAAGAAAGATCATTTAAGTTAATGACTTCAAAACTATTTAAGTTTAACCAGAGATATAGATTTCATAACATGTAATCTATATCCATTGTTTAACTGTGGGAATTTATTGTGTAGAATAAATTAAGAATATAAGATAGATATGTCAAAATAATGTTTCCGGCAGAACTTTAAATAAAATTATAATATAGTTAAACAGGTTTCTAATTTAATAACATTGTGATATAAAATATGACATGACAATGGACGGAGGGAATTTAAAAAAAAGAGTATTTATTCTAATAAATAAAAGGTACAAAAATATTGTTACCCTGAAAAATGCTGAAAAAGGGACGGAGCATATTCTATAATATCTATTTCAAAAATCTAGTCCTTCTACATAGAATATAACAACATAACAAGAAAAAGTATATATGAACAATGTATAATCTATAAAAAAATTCAACAAAATTATCAATGGCTAAGCGCAAAACTAATTTATCTTCTGCATTTAATTTACTGTACAAACATCAACTATAGTTTTGCGCTCAGCCATCAATAAAACTCTTCACAAAAATAAATAAAAAAAGAACATTTTATCTATAAATATATAAACTACATGAAAAAACAAGAAACATTCATACTGGTTTTTCATTTTGGGTTCCAGGTTTTAAAATCAGTTATTAAACCAGTCTAAATATCCTTCAATCTAATTGGCTGTTTTGAAATTTTCACTTTTTAAATTTCTATTTATATCATCTATTTGAAATAAGCACTGACCATAAGCACAAGATCCAAACAAATTAAAATTAAAATTTGTGTACAATTAAAGTAACCAAAAATTTGATTGGCTAACTGAAAAGTTAACATTTAAAATAACCAATGGCAACAGTCAGTCATTTTTTTCTGCAGTGGGCAAAGGGAGTTAACACTCAAAAAGTATTTTACAATCAACAATTTATTAAATTATCACTTAAAAGAAGAATAATATCCAGGTTAATGTTCAAATTAGCTAGAATAAGAGAGAAAACATATTTATAAGAAACTGATATATAAAACCAGGGATATCCCTGTTAAATCTATATCCCTGATAAAACAGCCAGACACATTTAGAATTTCATGTAAACATCAGCAAATATCAAAATCTATAATAAAAATTTGAGTTTTTCTACCTCTTTATCACAGTCATAGAGGATAAATACATGTAGATATTAAATATTTACATTTTTTTTACAAAATTTTCATAAAAAAAAATATTTAAAAAGTTAAAAATGCGCAAAACAAAAATGTAACATACTGTGACATATGAAGTACATTACTGTCTTTGTCATTTCTATTCCAAACAAATGCCTGAAGTATTTTTTATGTCACTCTAATTAAAAGAAAATTTCATACACAATCAAATCTTCTTACTTTCCTTTTAAAAATCAGTGAGAGCCTGGCACAAAATGGCTGCAATTTTTATGATTTAACCAATATAAACAGCCATTTTGCATCTTGCCCTCTATTTGAGTCGTGTCATGACAAAACCAACACAGTGCATTTGCGACCAGCATGGATCCAGACAAGCCTGCACATCCGCGCAGTCTGATCAGGATCCATGCTGTTCGCTTACAAACCCTATTACAAGTAGAGAAATTGATAGCAAACATCATGGATCCTGATTAGATTGCACAGAAGCTCAGGCTGATCTGGGTCCATGCTGGTCGCAAAACTATTACATTGGTTTTGTCATGCCATGGCTCATTTCATTTTATGTAAAACAATAAATTAATTTTCATAAAATAACAGCACCGCCTTAAAGAAGGCAATAACAATCATTATAAAGGTTTAATTCAACACTGATGTAACCTTTTAGTTAACCTTTACAGGGTGTTTCAAATAAGAACTACTTTCTATTTGAAAGAACCTGACCTTTACCATGCTTCAAAACTTGTCCAACATTTAATTTGGACAAAAATCTTTATCATTTTTGGGGACTATCTTTTAATATGTACTGACTGAATAGCAAACAGTGCAGACTATTATCAGACGGTACAGATGTGCCTGTGATCTTTGTCTGCACTAGTTCAATGGGTAGAAAAACTAGATTCAGTTGCTGCCAGTAGGCATATGTAACATAATTATAAGGTTACTTTGCAAAAAAATGTATCATTTCTTGCTGCAAAGGAGATTATTTCCGATTTTTTTTTATTTTACCAGGACATAATATAAATCATCTCCGGGACACCTGTCACCTGATTTCCGGGACAGTCCCGGATGTCCGGGACAGTCCCAGACATCCGGGACAGTCCCAGACATCCGGGACGTTATGACATGTATGGTAAAGGTTTATTAAGTTACAAATATGCTGAACCAAACCCTTATTCTGTACAATGACAAACTTTAACTTTCAATTTCAATAGACTTAATTAACAATGTAATCTATACAAGACCTTATTATACAATGTATTCATTATGCAATATCTACATAAAACAACTACATATTTATAAAAACACATTCAATATCATCAGAGGCCAAAAATACAAAAAAATTTATTTCCAACCAACATATAAGTTTTTTTTTTTCAACCTTCGAAAAAAAAAAAAAAACATTTCAAGAAGTTGCTATAAATAAAAAAAAAATATACCATCAAGATTTTTGGCCTCAAACTATTTTGATTATTCAGGTTATGTAGAAATCTACACAAAATTACAACACCAATAGTTTTAATTCAATACAAATTTAACATTCAGATTTGAATAAGAAAATTTCAATCTCACTATACTGAATGTTTTTTTTAATCTGGTATTTATTCCTGGTTGCTATTACAATAAGTCATTAATTTCAAACCAATACAAAATCTAAGTACAACAATTGAAAAATTACAACTGAATTTAAATTCATCATTTTGCTGTGTAGTTTCCTGAGATATTTTCTCTCTATATTTCTTTCATGGAACAAGAGTTTTATTTCATTCTCACCAAAATTTCTTCATTCTTCAAAATTGTACCAAAAAACAAAAACCTTAGTAAATGTAAAAGAAAAGCTTTTAACTGATAAGCCTTTTGCCGTCCTTATAATAAACAATATGCGATTTTTGAATTATAAATATCACAAGTTTTTTGTCAAGGTGTAAAGGGAGCACTACTCAAAGTAATTACTACGTCCTGGAACAACAACTAGATCTTCATCACTGGCCGGTTGGGTTTGAGCATATCTTATTTCCGGTTCCGGTTCGTAATGGTGTCGTCTAGGAGATACATCTTCATGACGACGACGTCGGCGCTTCTTCTTCTTGTGTTTCTTCGGCTCGTTATCAGTGTATAAATACTGCGTATCAAGGTCAGGTAATTGATGAGGTCGCGGCTGCTCGTATCCGTTGTCGTACATAGATCTGTAAATATAAATAAAGCAGTGAACATAATTAGTTTACTTTTACCAGAACACAGAAATATACCACAATTCCTCGTTTATTTGAAAAAATAATGCTTGTTGGTACAATTAAATTTTTCAGACACACTCTTACACGGAGGTACTCCAGAATTAGATGTATCTCTATATTTTGCACCATTTCTTACCAATACAATGTTGTACAAACTTTGTATGTTGCAACACGGCATTGTCAAATTCTCAATTAAAATCACTTCAATCAGTGTTAGACAATTTTTTGTGTGAGAGATATTGTATTTATTAAGAAAAAATTGTAACAGAAAAAGTTAAAATAATTGGACAAGTGGCTCACTGACCAAACACTCTGCAAATATTAATTATATCAAACAAGAGCTTATAGGCTAACCATATACATACATGTTTAAAGAGTTACAAAGCCAAACATTCTTTGAGTATAATAAATAAGGTACATGTACATACATAATAGGACCTGAGTCTGTTGCTGGTTTCAGATGGTATCTTGGTGTTGTGTACCTTGGCTCCTCGAAATCTGTAGACACACTGAAATAACATAAATAACATTAGGATTATTAACAACATAACCATGACACATCAAAAGTGTCAAAAAAGATGCAGTATTCAATCTGAAAGTTTAGATATTTAACATCGGAAAAAAGTACAAGTATAGTTAAAATCATTTCATGCAAAGTGCTTTAAAAGACAGCTGCAAAGTATGTTAACTTACAATATTATAATCATATTTGGTTACCGGTATGCTTACAAGAAAACTTTCTGAAACAGTTATGGTAAAAGCAACATTTTACAAGTTATGCTTACAGCCAAATCTTACATAATGGTTTAGCTTAAAGCCACATTTTACAAAAATGGTTATATGTTTAAAGCAAAATTTTACACAGTCTGGTTATGCTTTCAGCAAAATTTTACAAAGTAACGGTTATGCTGACTGATACAATCATGCAAATATTAGTTATGCTTACAGTTATACCATGCAAATTGGTTATGCTCACAAATTTAATATTTTGTTATTTATACTTTGATTTGGTTATGCTTACAATTGTATTGCTCAAATTGATTATACTTTCAAATATACTTGTAACATTCAAAATTATTATGCATACAGTAATTTCAATGCAAAATGGTTATGTTTTTTAAGCAATGTTGTTAAATATGGCTATATTTAACTTCATATTATTAAAATCTTCTATGCTGACAGTCATCTTACACTAAAGTTCTAAAATAATCATATTTCATACAAATTCAGAATGGACATTATTTTGTATGTAAAAAATGAAGTTTCTCAAATTTGAGGAAGAAACAACATTATCTTTAAAGTAGAAATTGATATAATTATTTAATGTATCAAGAAAAATATCATTTCTAGTTGCCATCTTGGATGCCATCTTGGATCTTTCAACTTTCGGTGTATAACATGCTTTGTTATACTGCAAAAACCTAAAAATCCTTTTTGAGTACATTTCACTTTACTATATAGAAATACAAAGTTGGAACATAAAAAGAACTTTGACCAGACAAACTTATGTCAGTTAAGAATTCTGATTCTTGATATGTAACGTAATACAGGGTCCATAACTCTACCTAAACTGTGCCTGGATGGCTTATGAACCAATACAAAATGAGAAACATGTAACTTTGTGTATTTGAAAAGTATATTTTCTTGAAAAATGGGTTTGAAAAAGAGAAAAAAAATGCATACAACTCTATAAGCATGAGACAATGGGCCATTACTCTGTTACTACTGTAAAATTAAAAATTAATAAACTTATGCTTACTCATTAAGTGCACAATAATACTCTACTAGCAAAACAAAGGTCAGAATAACACTTGTAAATATTTCAATAAAAGATACAAAACAAAATTATTGTACAAATAAAGGATTACTTAGTTATTATTAATTTGAAATTTTGTTTACTTATGGCCTTATAAAGAAGGTTATTAGTGTGAAAACAGTATGACAACAGACGGTTAAACAACAAAAAACTTTAAATAAGCCAATTGTAGCTTGATAACAAAACAAAAAAAACTAAACTTGGGATATTAATCAGTAAAATTATGTGTCTCTAACTTAACTAAGGTCAATGCTTTTGGAAAGTAACATATACACCTGACAAAATAACAATAAATTGTAATTGGAAAAAAAAAAAAAACAAAGGAAAAGTCTTGTAAACACATTTAGAAATATTTTTAGAAATGATAAGGCTGAATAAAAAACTTTTTAAATTAATAACTAGGTGTATTACAGATGTATGCTAAAAAAACAGCATGGCAAGGAACATTAACCGTAATAATCCTGAATATCTTAAATGGACTTGTCCATCTGTGAATACAGACAAAACCATTATCATTCCTAGGGAAAATTTGACTGAATAACAAACAATGCAGACCAGGATCTCAGTCTGTACTCCAGTGGCATAGGTATTTTTAGTTGCCACCAGCAAGCCAAAGGTTTAAGAGCGCACTGACCTAGAAAAGCAATCAATGACCTAATGACCTTGAGTTTAGAGCAAAAATACAAAAGCCATAACAGCCAAATATTGCCTAAGCTATTATTTTATCTCTTGAATTGGTATATTTTACAAGTACTTCATTACATAATCTGCATGCATTGTCCTAGATAGCATTTGCTAAAGGAGGCTACGACAGAATAACTTACGATGCGTCACAATGTCCGTTCACCATAACTCCGACGTCTTTTCTCGAAATAGTTGACGTTGCTGATACAATAGTCCTAAATGAGTAAAATGTTAAAGAGTACAAGTGATTAATATAAAGCAAAAGGGCAGTAAGTATAGGTAATAAAAATGTTTGTTTCCAATCCCAGAATGATAACACTTCTTGAATCCTAAAAACAAATTACCCTTTACCTTGTTAGCAATATAGTTAATGTGCGATCCAAAAAATATATCACAAACATAAAAAGCAGAAAAACTGTGATAAAATAAGGAAAATGAAATAAATCAGTATTTTACTTTATCAAATAAGTTCTACACTTGGTTGCTCATTTGCAAACTTACAATTGTTTAAGCACTGCCTAATGTGTTATATTTCAATTTTTGGTGTTTTTTATTTTTTTCCTGTTTTGTTTTTTTCCTTGCCAAAAGTACTGTATCTGTATGTATGCAGTGTTTTGATGTTAAAAATTTTCTTTTGCTTACATTGTTCTTTTTTGGGGGTAAAAATACAGTGTTATATTACGCTAGTTATATTGGAAACAAACATTTTTATATGTTTTGCTAAAGGGAATAAGGACAGACACTACAACTATTATAAAAAGACACTTCTAATGTTTAAAAGTACTGTAAGAAAATGATGGATGATTCATTATATGATTTATGATTCTACAACATGAATGCTTTATATTCAACCCTAACACCCCTATGCCGGAAAAAATGAATTTGTCCTACTTTAAATCTGGAACTGTCTATTTTTACTAAAAGGGGTTTCAATATCAACAAGCAATTATCATAGTATTGCAAGCAATCCATAAGTCCCCTACCGGTTAGAACCTCATCAACATTCTCAAGGGCCATTGGCCATTCACTAATGTTTCAATTTTTCTCTATTTTAAGTAAATTTGTTGGAAAAGTTCTTTAAAAGTGATCACAGGAAACAGTTTTTATGAACAGACAGACAGACTGAAGGACACTCTAAAGTTAATATTTGAAACATCCCTGTTACCAAAATATAACATTTTTAAAAGCAAAATTCTTAAAGAGGAGATAACTCTTGAATTTTAGATACAATTTCATAAAAAAAAATCAGCTCTTTTTGACTAATCACAAATATTGTTATATTTGCCATGTTTTAAGCCTATTTGTTGCCAAGGCAACCAATATTTTTTTAAAATAGGAAGAAAAGATAAGACATGCATAATCTCCAGACTGCCATCTACCCATATGTCAAGTTTCATAAAAATATTTCAAATACTTTTTTAGTTATCACTGGATTCAGTTTATGTGTAAAATTTGCCACATTTTCAGTCTATGTGTTGCCATAGCAACCAGAATTTTCAACATAGGAAGAAAAGAAAAAGACGTGCATAATCTCCAGACTGCCATCTACCCATATGTCAAGTTTCATAAAAATATTTCTATTACTTTTGCGTTAACACTGGATCCAGTTTATGTGTAAAATTTGCCATATTTTCAGTCTATTTGTTGCCATAGCAACCAGAATTTTCAACATAGGAAGAAAAGAAAAAGACGTGCATAATCTCCAGACATCTACCCATATTTCAAGTTTATAAAAATATTTCCAGTACTTTTTGCATTATCACTGGATCCAGTTTATGTGTAAAATTTGCCATATTTTCAGCTATTTGTTGCCATAGCAACCAGAATTATTTAACATAGGAAGAAAAGAAAAAGACGTGCATAATCTCCATACTGCCATCTATCTATATATCAAGTTTCATAAAAATATTTTCAGTACTTTTCAAGTTATTGCGGGATCCAGTTTTGTGGACGGACGGACTGACAGACAAACAGACGGACGGGCAGACGGATGGAGGGTATACCTAAAGTCCCCTCCGGTAAACCGGTAGGGGTCTAAAAAGCTTAAATTGAGCAGCCCTAATTCTAGAAAGTCAGCATGGCTGTGCTTGCCTTTTTGACATTAAGCTGGTGCAACTAGGCAACAACTACCTTCTGCTGACATTCAAAGAAAAAGTACAATTTAGGTAATCTGTTTAATGCAAGAAAACTAATATTCAGTGGATTAAGGCCACTATAGACCAAAGCTCTTCTTACTACGCAGCAGGTATAAAAAGAATAGATTTGAAAATGGAATTTAAGCTATCCTGCAAGGTTTGAAGAGTTGTTTTTTAAACAATCCTTTCTAAACCATCACAATTCTGTTGGAATTTCAGCCTCACCAATACAGTCTAAGAGCTATTTTTAAGCATTGTCGGTCACCCACGGTATCACAGTATATATTCGGTACATATTACATTATTTGTATGAAATAATTATATACAATGGGTAACTTACAATTATGTTGTATGTATGGAATATTTACTTTGGTTTAAGTTTGATGCTTTTTAAGATGATTCTGTAGATTTATTCTACAAGCTGGACATGGAAATGCTCTGCTATGTATTAAATTTCAAGCATAAAAGGCCATCTAATATTGGTAGAACCACCAAACTGTTCACATACCAACTGTATATTCTTCATAAACTACCTATTTTGTCAAAACAGTGCAAGGTAATTGGTATGAAGACAGGGATCTTATGGACTATGAATTTTCTTGCTACTTATAAAAGACAAGTAGGTGTTCTGTAAGCATATCATCACCATTAATGTTAAATAAATACAATGTACTAATCATGGGGGGGGGGATCAAAGTACTAAAAGTACTAATCTACCAATGAATAAAGAGGAAAGATAACAGATTCAAGGTTTCATATCATAAAAATAAATTTGAAGACCAGTCTGAATTCCATAGCTTTTCATTGGTCACTTTTGAAAACATAATTTGAAATAGACCAATAACAAGGAAGCAAGGTTAGACTGGTATTCAAACATTTTATCTCCACTCCAAACATAGTGTTATGAAATATAACAAACCAGTCAGAGACACAGCAATGTGAAACACTACATTTTAATACAGGAAGTGTGAGTAAGTGATAAAAATGTTTACAATACCTTGGAATATATGGTTTTACAGCGGGCTTCTCAATGATAACTTCAGGTTGAACCTTCTCCTTCTTTCGACACCAACCTGATTGAAATAAAATTAGAATGCAATTTATTTAAACCCTCAAATTGGGAACAGTGTTCTTACCTGACTATGAGTGCAGCAAACTACTAGTACATTTTTATTAGTACATCAAAAGAAGAGGCTTTTTAACATTATTATGTAAATATCGAAAAGATAATTATTATTTATATCTTGTAATTAAAGTTATTTTTTCGTCAATTTTTATCTCATTTTAAACTTTAAGCATTTTAAATAAAAAATGGAAAGAATTTGCAGTTACAATAGCTACAACATTAAATCAAAGGAGGTAACAAATTCCAGTTACCGTAGCTACAACATGAAATTAAAGAAAAAAAAGAAATTGCAGTTAACATAGCTACAAAATCGAATTAAAGAAGAAATAAGAAATTGCAATTACCATAGCTACAACAGCAGACGATGATGATGATAATCAGTAAAATCAAGAAGATGATTCCAAGAACAATAGCTGCGATAGTTCCTGTACCAATGCCAGTATTCTCTGTTGCAGCTCCCACATTGGCTGAAATATGCAAATTAGCAAGGTCAGTAAAACTGGTCTCAAAATGAGACTTTAATCAATGTTTTTAAAATTTATTTCATGCAACTATTTTAACAGATTACATGTGTACTGTTTGGAAATTTTTGACCACTTAACAATATTTACCAAAAAAAGCATTAATTTACTTTACCTTTGAAAACATTGAACAAGTACAAGAAAATCTGTCTGTGTTTTTCTTTAAACTGAGACCTTTCTAATGATAAAAGTCATCTCTACCTGTACACAAAAGCATTGTTTTTTTGAAAAATGGTCTTTAAACATATGTTATATAGTACATAAATCACCTATGGTTTCTTCCTCCACTACAAGACTCTGAGAAGATGACGTCCCGCGAGTATTTTGTGCCGTACAACTGTATGTCCCGTATCCTTGAGATGCTGTTACCGTATAAGTGCTACTGGCAGAATCTTGTAGTACTGTAGATCCACTATAGAAGATATATCTTGTAACCGATGGGTTGGCATTCATATTACATGTGATTGTAATATCTCCATTGTCGAAATCTCCCACAGTTGTAATAGATGAACCACCAACTGCCTCAGGTGCGACTGTAATTAAAAAAAAAATAAAAATTAATACTAAGGTGATTTAATGGCACTGTATTCTACAGAGTATAAGGTGGTTAAATGACATTGTATTCTACAGTGAGTAAATTTGGTTTTAATGACATTGTATATTCAAGTAGTGTTTTTTGTTGTTTTAACCTTTTTTTGTGTTTTTCACTAACACAGTATTTAGAGTAGTTTTGAACTGTTTACTTACATTGGACATCTATATTAAGAGCGTTACTGGTTCTCGTGTTGTATGTGTTAGTTGCCTCACATGTATACGCTCCAGCCTGATTAGATCCTATCGTAGAAATTGTATATGTAGCTGAAGTGCTAACTGCTGTGTTGCCGAGGAGCCATCGATAACTGGTAGCCGCACCAGCAGGGCTAGTTGTACAGGTGAAGGTCACAGACGAGCCTCTAAGTGGAGTTGTGGTGCCAACAGAGGCAGTGGCTGTTGTTAGAGCTAAAATATAACAGTCATTTATTTATTAAATAATTAAAGAACATAATATAGTGCTGTTTAACCAGAAAATATTCTTGTGACTGTTAAGTTTTGATACTTTGATAATATCATAATGAAATAGAGAAAAAAGATTCATAACAACATGCCCAAATTGACAAAACTGAAAATGTTGCAGGGTTTGTTTGACTGAGCCGATTCATGGAAGTAGTGGTAAGTGTCATCTACCTTCCATGCACCATTTTACCAGCCTAACCCTTCAAACTATTAACTGGCAACTCTATATTGAAAGCTGCTGAGGACAAGTGTATTTTTAAAAGGAATCTGTAGATCAAAGGTTAGGGCATAAATTTAAGATCTTTTTTTACCTTCATACTGAAAATACATTGTATAATGATACCTAAATATGTTTTATTCTTAGAAATTCTATATATATTAGTTAAGAGAAAGTAAATTTTATTCTGTCCTTCTGTGAGGAATCTATAGTCAATTTTAAAACTAGCTGCTACTTTAAACATTATCTTAGATACAATAAAAGGACAATGCAAACAAATTGGCAGATGAAACTAGCCTTTGCCGAAATCAATCATATAGAAATAAGTTTACAACATTTTTTGTCTGGAACTATTGCAATTTCCAAGATTTTAATACATTAAATTTTGTAAAAAATTGAAAAGGGGGACTTCAATTTAACACTTGTCTGAAACTGAAGTGATTTTCATATAAATTGGAATAGCCACAAGTTTACTTAAACTGTCTTGAACTACATGTATATAAGTAGCTTCAAATATAATCACATAAGTATATGTTCACTACATTTAACAAAAACTGTAGCTATTTTAAAATAAATTCAAACAAAATTGAGTTTTCTAAAATTATTTAAAATTGTAGCAGTACTGATATCGATTATAAAATTGCTAGACGTTTACTAATTAAATTATTGGGAACAATCTAGACAAAATTTTACTCATACTAAACAGATTATAAGTCTGCTATAATTAAGCAAAACATGGCATTTTTCAATTTAATAAAACACTGTATATTCTGTAATAATTGTCCCTCCCACTTATATTTCTCCCAACCCCTTTTGGAAAATTTTTATTATAGAATATACAGTATATGACATTGATTATGAAACTGTAGCAAAATTGAAACTACATGTAGCTGTAAATCAGTATACCTGTTATTGGATAACACGGTGTTACCATTGTAACTTTACTCACTGTGTACAATTTTATACATTTTAAAAATTACAATGTGTGGTATATTTCATAATATACAAAACAGAACTCATTTGAGCCGTGTCACGACAAAACCAACAAAATGGGTTTGCCACCAGCATGGATCCAGACCAGCCTGCGCATCTGCGCAGTCTGATCAGGATCCATGCTGTTTGCTTACCAACCCTATTACAAGTAGCAAAACTGATAGCGAACAGCATGGATCCTGATCAGACTGCGCGGCTCGTATATTCTTGATTTATCTATTATCCAATGCCTGAATTAAACCAAGTAAAATTAGAAAGTCTTAAGAAACCTCAGTTCAAAGTTTAATGCAAGGAGTTATATTGGAATTACTAAACTGAAGCATTTCATTGATCAATTCAAGTGTATGCTTTTTATAGTGGTAGATGGTATTTCCTAACTGACCCTAACATTAATAAATCCATTCAAATACTATATCTAAAATAATATGATCTATTAAATATGTGTTCAAAAGACACAAAGGAAATATTAAATTATGCTAAAACTTCAAAAGTAAGTGCAATTATATTAACATAAGAGTCTTTTTTTGGACAGGATCAATTTATAGTTTTTTTAGACAGGATGTCTAATTCAAAATGTGGTCTTCAGCATCAACTTTTAACTGCAACAAAAGATAATTATAAAGATCCAAGAGGTTTCAGTGGTCTGAACAAGTTAAAGGTACTGACTGAGAGTTACTTGCCCCATTACTGGTGCCAGGTTTGTTCTGACCAGGTTTGTTTCTTCCATCGGTAAGTACCCGGTTGGCTAATTGAAGATTGCAGTAAGAGCTACTGTTTGAGTTTCAACTCATATATAATTATAAAATGACACATGGACAGGCATCATTTTGTTGTCTTCATAAACTAATAGAGCATAATAATTTCTCTCAGTGCCTTAAAACTCTATTAAACGCTGATGAAGGCTATTCAATAGCCGAAACATAGGTCTTTAATAAATTTACTGAAACCCTCCTTGTTTCGTGTGTTTCACATCCTTTATTCTTTTTATCAACTCTATTACAAGACAAAACAACAAAATCTTACCAGTTCCAGTGACTATAAGCTGAATCGTGGGACTGTTTGTACACTGAGAGAAGTTACTTGCGTAACATAACTGACAAACATAGTTTCCAGCATCCCCAGCTTCAGCATTAGATACGGTCAAGTTGGGATTGGCTATGTCTCCATTTATAAAACGTCCTGAAAGAAAATCAACTGTATCAACAAGAAAGGTCAACTGTATTTATTGACTTAGCTTTAGATGAAACCTTGAAGCATGTTTAAACCATTTTTACGTATTCCTACCGGTACTAACCAGTGCTGACCTTGAGGTTAAAAACCTTTTTTCTGAAATATGGCTTGGATCTCAGTATGGTCAGTGCACATTCTGTGCAGGTTTCTGACCAATGAAATATTAGAGATCTGAGTTCGAGATTAGAAAAATTTCTTTATAACCTTGGACATGGAAACATAGACATGATCCAAGTAGGTTTAAACCCATGATCCTTATATTGAGAGGCAGACACTTAAACCAGTAGACCACTATTTTCTTTTTTCATTATATAAATATAATCTTTTCTTCAGATTTAATAAATGATTCAATATTTTGTGAATTAAAAGAAATTGATCACTTTGATTAAGAAAAAAATTGCATTATGAATACAGAATAAAATAGTCCCTGCAAGTGTTACACTAGGGTTTTTACTTTTTTAACTTTTTTTTTTGTAAATTCCAACATGAGTCCCACTAACTGATAAAATGTGTAATGCTACAGTAATACTGTATCTCATTATCTCTAACATAATATGGCATCTCAAAATTGCAAGTAAATTGTAATGTTTAGTTTAGGTTACATTTTCAGAAATGATGATCTTTCCTGAGCAAGGAAATATCATTTTTATTGTGCAAATTAGCTGACCTAAAAATGAAAAGCATTTAAATACTTTTATCTCAAATTAGGCCATTAATCATATTAATATATTCTTTTTACATTTAAGGTGCCCTGGTTGATCAATGTAATAATTTTTTTATTTATTTATTTATTTTGTTTTAAGATTTTTGGACGTAAGAAGAGCTCCTTTAATAATGACAATTACCTAAACTAACATATTTTAATCAAGCACACCACATATATGTTAAACCTACCAGTTGTTATAACCACAGCTTCAAAATTAGGAAGTCTGAGCCACCTTGCCGACTGGAGGGAGCTGGCTCCCCTGGTGTCCCTACAATGCATCACCTGTGTGCTCTGTAAGTCAACCTGGTAACAAGTCCGGCCGACTGTCACTGACGGGGTGGATGGGGAAGTAGTTCCTGTGGTAGTGCTTGGAGACGATGTTCCAGACGGACCTGAAGATGGAAAATTTGTATCTCAATTGATATAATTAACCTAAAGTACTTAAATAGACTGGTCTAGTTTCAATTTTTGGAACTGTCAAATATTAAATTAAGGGATTTCAAGTTGAAAATTTAAAGTTAAGTATAGACAGCCCACACTATAGATTCTGGTCAGAGCAAGCTGGCAAAGCTCTATACTACGGTGTTCGTTAGGGCCAGAAACGTGACAGTACTATGTTAAAAGTATGAAATTATGATTGTGACAGAACGACAGTACTACGGTGACAGTACAACAGTACAATGGAAAAACACCATAGTATGATGGTGACAGTCCATTGTACTGTCCTATTTTCACCATGGTACTGTCATAACTGTCATCATCATTGTGTCATGTTTCGGACTTTTCGATCTCAGTGAATACGCCCTGATCCTAACGAAACACCATACTATACCGGTGGCAAAGGTAAAGTCTTACCAATATCAGTTTATGTAGGTTTACATTTAAGACACATTATATTTTTTCCTCGAAAAGAGTGCCACATGGTCCAAAGTTCCAGTATCACAGCTGCATGAAAGAATCTGCTGAGTGATGTTTTAAAACTATTTATATTGAAAATTCTTATGAATCTGAGTTATTTTTATACTGGTTTTTGTATAACTTTTACCATTTTTAAGCCTAAAATCGATAGGTACTTCTATAATACAGAATGATTATAAAATATAAGTACAAGTAAGAGTATAAGTTGTAAATGTAGGCTGGAAGGTAACTATATGACCTTTACCGTGTCTGTGTGATGTAAAATCCGACCATAAAAACAAATAATATACTTACAGGAACTGCCCGAGGTGTCTTGAGAACATACTCCATTCACGTTAGAATAACCACCAGCACAGGAACATGTGGTAGGGGAACCATTACATACAGCATTACTATCTAAACAAGGGTTTGAGGCAGCAGTGTTACAGTTACTTCCAAGGGAAGCTCCTGAAAGAGAAAAGGATAATTCACTCTTATTTAGTCTACGTGCATTAATTAACAACAATTCATAAGACATTTTTTTCCTTAATAAGAAGTTCTGTAATGTAAACAAATAATATTTAAAATGTTCGGTACCAGTTTCAATATAGGCTTAACAAAAAACAGTTACAACTCTCTTTCATTTAAATCTTTAAATGTACTGATATCTATTCTTTATTGTAAAGGCTTCACTTAAAATAGTATCTCTTGATCTGCTTTTTTTAAGGACCATGGTTTCACTTATTTTCATTCTGATTTAATTATATCATGGTCCATAATATCCAATTAAAAATTTCATTAATCTTTTACTTGTTTGATATACATAATAAACTTGAATCATCTATTGTTAATTAACCCTTAACCTGGTGAAACTGAAATTTATTACATATGATCATTGCTGTCTGGTCAGGCTCTTAGTATAATAAAGGGGGTGTCAAGGTTCGCAAAAATGATAACTGTTTAAATGGCCACCCTTAAAACCATGTTAAACGTTTAATTGAATGTACAAATAAAATTCTTAGATTATCAACATTAACTTTGTTTCTTTACGAGAAGATATGACATTCTGGTGGTATTATTTAGTACTCCAATTAATTGCAATTGATATGGATTAACCTTTTTTCAGAACAGCTGTACTGTCGCGAGCAGATCGGAAAAAATTCATTGTTGAGCTGTAAACTGACCGTGCCCATTTAAACGCATAAACGTGACATCCCTACTACTCTATACTGACTAATTTTAACTTAACATCTTGATATCCTTTATCATGGACTGTTTCAAAAATGAAATTCAGAAAAGTTCATTTAGTACAATGTACATTCAACAAGTTAAAGGTTCAGTATTTCTTAACTGTAAAGCTTTCTAAATGTAGTATCTTTGCTGCATTGTGTATTTCAATGAGTGAATAAAATAAATAAAATCTTACTTATGTAACAGATTCCTGAGGTCGCAAAATATCCAGATGGGCATACGCATGTACCAGAGGAACATGTAGCAGATGCGGTTGTAGTACCAGTGTTAGTGGCACAGCCCACAGATACAGTACAAGATTGTCCTAATATAGCTGAAAAAGACAAAAAATGCATATTTTTTGTGTTGTTCTGTTCTTCTTTTAAAAGATTACTATGTGTTATAAAATCAAATAATGAGAATAATATCTTGATTTCATAATTGCGCAACTGTTTTAAAAATGCAGATGTTAGAAATAGTAATAGAATTTTCAAAACCTCTTCCTGAACTAACTATAGAACTATAGTTATTACAAAAAATCGCAGGAACTCAAAAGGGGTTAAAAGTAACAATCCTTAACCAAAAAAATGCAGAGCCTTCATAGCAGATTTTAGTCAGCCATCCACTTAAATTAATGATCTTTTAATTCATTTCAACCTAATTATACACTACACTATGTAAACTAAACCAGCTTGATATGCAGTCAAAATGTTCATTAATTTTACTGATTGGTAAATATTTTAATTCCTACAACACTTTATTTATGATTGTTTTCCTATCTAAACCTGTACACTCAGCCAATTACTTGATCACATCTCAAGCAATTTTTAATTGTGTAAAAAATATATGATTAAGCGAAATTATATTGATAAAGGACTGGAAACAGTATTTAGGTAAATATATTAAAATACTTACGTAAAATACACGAGGACGTTGAAGCCTGATAGTAGCCGGAGTTACACTGACAAATTCCTCCCGAACATCCAGCATTGGTGATACACGATCGTGATGGATTTACACAGGACTCACCAATCAATGCTGAAACAATAAATAGGACATTTTTCATTCCGAACAGATCAACAGTGCAAAATGTTAATAATACAATGATAATCATGTGAGGAGGTAAGTCATCAACTACATAAAGAATCCTACCACAGTATGGTCTATTCACTCAATTTATTTTCAATCTTGTCTTGAAAGCTTCCCAAAGAAGTTTTTGCATGATTGCAATGCAAACTATTTTTTCTCCAGAACCTTGAGGTTAAAGATGGTATACTTACATTGAAAATGAACAAAAATCCTGCCGAAATTGTTCCGGTTTCCGGAATTCAGGGTTTCCAGATTAGAGAAGCTTTTTCGTACAAAGAAACAGATGGAAAAGAATTGGGACCGTGAAAAATATTTGGTTTATAGAGAATTCCGGAATAAAGAGTTTCCGGTTTTAAGTGAGTTTTTACTGTACTCTCAAACACTGTTGTAACTAGAGAGATTTATTTCTGTCATTCACTGCTCTATAGCTCTTACCAAGCAAAATAAATGACTTTCTTAATATACAGGTCAAGATGGTTTGGGGGTTATCATAAAACAAGAAAAATTTATACAAAAGCAATTATGAAAAGTCAAAATTGTGAATAAGATTTTACCAAAATGAAGTGGCAACAGAGCATGTTTACTGTTTAGATCAATCTTTACTTCAAATGTGCAGATCCGGATATCAAGACAGGGACCATGGGCAGATTTTGACTGGGACTGTGGGTGAGTTTTGACTGGGACTGTGGGTGGGCTTTGACTGGGACCCTGGGCGGGCTTTGACTACCAGCCAACAACTCTAAATGATACACAAAAGAATAGACTAGAATGAGATCAGGTTTGTTTAGAGATACGGACGATAATACAGATAAATCATTCCTAAACAAGATGTCTATCTGATATTGTCCTAAATTAGAACAGAATTTTGGTCAATCAAAATTTTTGAGTACTCTAAATGAAAGCTTAATTTTACAATATGCACACAAGGTTATGAGCAGTTATCAGCACCATGTAATACAATTTTGTCATTTCTGTGCATGTTATTATCAAAGAAACATTATATAGTATGAGCTGAAAAGGAGAAAGTGTCATATACACAAAACACTTTTTGATTAGTTAATGAGTCTAAATTAATTGAGAGAATTTTATCTAATTATGATCCGGCAGAGAATACAGGAAAAAGAACATTCACCATTTTATATAGAACTTTAAACATTTATAAACATATGAGTGTAGTGCTTAAAAAAAGAGAAAAGTTTGTTAATGAAAGCTATCTGATTTTAAAGCTGCATGCCTCCAGATGAAGCAAAATATTTTATAAAATTCAAACTTGAGAAAAAAGGTACTAAGAAAAGTAAATACATAAAAGTTCAAGTATATGTGTGATTAATGACAGGGCTTTTTTTGCAGAATTTATCACAATATTTCTAGTATTTTTCTCCTGCATGTAAGGGCTATTGTAATACATATTTTGACCTCCTTTTTAAGTGTGGTTTGCAATGTATAAATTACATGTACTTTCTTCTTTCACTTTACAATATTTTACTTTTAAATATATATTTTCAAAATTTTCATGAAAATCATCATAATTCTGGAGGCATGCTGCTTTAAAGATTCTTATGTCTGTGCTTAATGTTAAAATATAGGGACTGTCAAAAATCATGTGTGGTACCCTCTTAAAGAATTTATATATTCTAATGCACCAGCCAATTGCTACCCAGACTCCCCACCCCTAGAGAACGGAGGGGACTGTGAGTTTTTATTTTTCAGATCCCAGTGGTAAAAGCTCTACCAAAACAAGATCAGTAAAACCTTTTTTATATGGTCAACAGTCATGTTGCACCTGTCCCCGGCAATTTTTGTGCCACAACAAGTGTCACGAGGGATAAAGGGAAGCTAAAAATTTTTCCCTTTTTATATTCAATTCCATCAAGGTGGGGCGGGCCGGGAGATCTGAGGCTGACTGGTGCATTAAGAACTCATGTAATAGAAGGTGCGATCTCACCTGAACTGTTCATACAGTATTGTAATGATGAGGAATACGTGTAACCAGCGTTACATAGGCAAGTTCCGCCACTACTACATGCAGCGTTAGTTGGACAAGTCCTAGTTGGGTTCGTGCAACTTGCATTAATACCAGCTAAGAAATAACACATGCATAATAAATATTAGATTGTACTATAACTATAGGGTGAAAGTGGACAAGAAAAAATATGAAAACAAAATCTAGAATCTAGTGGTTATAAATTATAATTTATAAGAAAAACTAAATACATGTATACAATATTCAACATACATACTAGCACTAAAAGGGTAAAATGGGTAAAATGGGTAAGGAAATAAACAAAACTGTAAAGAAGAATCTAGAAGAGGTTTTAAAACTAAAATAGGTGTATAATAGTATGAACAATAACTACCAGTAAATTAAAGCTTTGGATATAAAATATTATAAAAGATGTATTGAAAATTGAAATTGGAACAAAAAAGAGTAAAGACAAAATTAAAGTAGGGTATAAAAGCTATATTGTGTTGTTTTTTTTTTATAAAATTCTAGACAGCAAATTAAATAAACTTATCGGTGATAATGGTTTTTCATTGGTATCTTGTAAGTAATGTTAAATATAATATTAAATATACATTGTATACTAATGCACATATCAATATTTTGTCCAAAATTGGGTTGGCTGTAGGCTTACACAACGAAATTTTACATTTTTCAGAAGACTCTAGAAGAATCTAGAAAAATCTTAATCACTAGAGTGATGGTGATTTGTCAAAATCCCAAGAGTAAGAAATGATCTGCAAAAGCATGGAGATAACCATGTCATGCTTTGTTTTCATGGGCAATTATGTCATACTAATTCTGGTCAGTCAGGAACAATATTTTGTCAAAAAAGTCCCTTGTATGCCAGATACACCAACTCCCACCTGGGTCAAAATATTTATATGTGCATAAAGGGTGACAGAAAATAGGTAACATGTTCAGGTAAAGAAAGCATGATTCAATAAAAGTTGATAAAACATATAGTATGTTGCCTGTGCATGGCTATTGTAAAGCACAAGTGTAATGATGTAAAGCTTATGCCTCCTTTTCACATTCCTGCACTCATTATCTGTGTACACAGTAGCCAGTAGCAAACAAACACTACACCCACACAACCCCCTCCCATAAGAAATCCATATGTCTATTTCATTCAGTCATTATGCCTCCTTTTCACATTCCTGCACTCATTATAAAGTGTTCAACAATATACCGGTGCATTCCCTTAATATATTCCCTTATATAGAAAATAGCAATGCAGACAAGGAGCACTGAAATCAAATATCCTCCTGACAATTTTGAGACATTTCAAATCAAGTATGCCCAAATAAGTTCATACAATTTTGTTTTAGTTGGATTGTGTTGGAAGGTGTAAGCCTACTGAAACACTCTTGAATCTATTCCTCGGGCACCAACCAGTATAAAGCAATAAGTGTAAACTTTCTTGATCAAGAAAACAAAGGTTGCCCCTGACAATGCTCTGAACCAATGCAGTTAGCAATCTTTAGATTATTAGTCATTTATGCTAAGTATGCCTAAATAGTTTTACAGCTTTGATGATTTCAATGTGCAAAAATGGAAAAGAAAGAATGGATTATAAATGTGCAAAATAAAAGTCATTTAATTTGTTTGTGAAATTCTTTTTTACAAAGATTTTGAACTTTACCTGAGCTTGATATACAATAACCCAGAGAGCTTGAATAAGTGTACCCAGAGATACACTGACATGTTCCACTAGTACAGCCAGCATTGGTAGGGCAAGTTCTTGTTGGGTTTATGCAAGCTTGGTTAATTCCAGCTGAAAAGATTTGTTTTATCCTATATATAATATATTTCATCTAGCACTAGCAACAAACCTAAGGAAAAGCTAAGAATTATGATTTTATACATATTATACATACATATACAGGTAAATTGGTAAGTGATATAAAAGTAAAGACAAATTCTAGTATAGTACATCTTGAAGGGAATAGAAAATTTAAAATGAGTTATATATTTAAAAACTTGGTAAATTATATAATTATAATTATCATATCATGCATAAATATGCTAAATCATATAAATAGTGACAAAGGGTTAGTAAGGTAAAAGAGTCAGGTAAAACAAGGATTTGCTTCATATAAACAAGTTTTATAGGATTTACACTTAAAAAAAAACTTATAATACCTAACAAATCAAGTGTACTTAAGTTAATTAACAAATGTGTTCCCTTGTTATATAGAACTTACAAATGAGTCACAGATTAAAAGCAAAAGAAGCCCAATAATGTACATCAATTTGGTTGACTTGGCAAAATAAAAAGGGCATTGAAAACAACAGTCTCTAAATTATGTTAATAAATGTTTTGATTTCTGTTTCTATAATTATCATAGAATGGTTGTGATATTGGTATAGAATTAAAAAAATAAGAGACTTCAAATCCAATATGCCTTATAATAAAAAAAAGTTTTATAAATCATAGTCAAATCAAGTATGCCCAACTATACAAGTGTTACAATTGTGACTAAAGGACTTGTGTAAATGAGAATTTTTAAAAAAAAATCTGTATAATATCATGTCAATTGAGAATATTTTTTACAAAAATCGTGAGCATTACCTGAGCTTGTTACACAATAGCCTAAAGAGCTTGAATAAGTGTACCCTGAGATACACTGACATGTTCCACTAGTACAGCCAGCATTGGTAGGACAAGTCCTTGTTGGGTTTATGCAAGCTTGGTTAATTCCAGCTAAAAAGAGGAACATTTTAATGATCTATTACATATTATAATCTAGCAGAAGATACAAAACTAGAAAGTGTTTATAACATGCATGAAAAGCTAAATTCCGTTTCATATACTAAAAGGAAAAGGTTAAATAATTGGAAGGAAAAATTTGTCAAAAAACAAAATCTAGCAAAAGTTGTCTAGCATGGATTACTAAGGTTGAGGTTTTTTGTTACTTTCTTGTTGTTGTTGTTGTTGTTGTTGTTTTAAATGCTTAATACCATAATATGTAAACTTAACACAGTAAGTGGGAAGGAAAACACTTCTGGTCAAGAAAGCACATAAAAAATTTTAAGCTGATGAAGTAAATCAAAACTTGTGTTAAACCCAGAATTAAATGACAAGAAGAATGAAGAGTGTACTTTATAGGCCCATTTATTATTCATATAAATTAATTTCAGCTATGTTATCATCCCAACATCCAAACACCATCCCCTAACCCTCCTGTGTTTTGATAATTCCCCCTCTTCACCTATTTGTTTCTGGTTGGGTTTAATGTGGCACCAGCACAGTATAGGTCATATGGCAACTTTCCAGCTTTGCTAATGGAGGAAGGTGTCAGATGCCCTTCCATGCATTATTTCAGACAAGAACAGGCAACTGAGTAGAACCACAGATGTTATGTAAGCTAGCTGGATAGCTTCCTGGCATGAAAGAGTCCTATGTTTTGATAATTTTACTTCTTCTCTTTATATAACCCTCCAATGTGTTACTTATTCCACCGCCTCTTCAAATATATAACCTTCCTTTGTTTTGATTATTCCACTTCTATTGCATACACTATGCTAATATGATAGAAAAATTCAAATTTGTAAATATTGATATTGAATACCTTGACAATATGCAGAGACACATAGATTTAACTGTATGACTTCTTACAAAGATTTCCAGTCAAATATGCCAGGTTTGTTTAACCCTTTTGTTGATTTTAGGTACAAGTCAAGGAGTCAATGAGAAGTAATAAAGAAAATTTATAGGAGGAAATAAATTTTAAGACATTGTCATTCAAATATGTCAAAATATAATTTTGTAACTATTTTGATAGTAGAAGACACACTGGTGAACATGATTTTACAAAAATTGTGAGCATTACCTGAGCTTGTTACACAATAACCCAAAGAGCTTGAATAAGTGTACCCTGAGATACACTGACATGTTCCACTAGTACAACCAGCATTGGTTGGGCATGTTCTTGTTGGATTTATGCAAGCTTGGTTAATTCCAGCTAAAAAGAGGAACATTTTAATGATCTACAACATATTATAATCTAGCAGAAGTTACAAAACTATAAAAGTGTTTATAACATTGATGAAAGGCTATATATAATTTTAAAATAATACTTATAGGTTAAATATGGGAGGAATAAAAATCTAGCAAATGTTGTCTAGCATGAGAGTTGAATTGCTTAAGTTGAGCGTATTTGTATTTTTTTAACGTAGCTAAGTACTATAATATGCACATGTATAGTTAGCATAGTCAAAGGGAGCAGATAAAATGTTCAAGAAAGCATGTATTTCACACATAGAAATTTATAAGCTTACAAAGAAATTCAAAGCTTGTGTTTCAGTGACATTCATACATGATGAAAAAGTGTACATTATAAGCCCATTTATCATCCATGCAAATTCATGTCAGCTAATTTAAATGATTTTAGCCTCCCCTAACTGAAACAGCCTCCCCAAACCCTCGTATGTTTTAATAATTAGCACACAAGTAATGGATGGAGACAACAGCAATCAAATGCACCCAGATGATGACTTCTTTAGGAGATTGCCAATCAAGTACATGTATACCCAGATTGTTTAAACTTTTGTATGTTTTGTTTTTCAGTGTGAAGTCAGGGATATCAGTAAGAATTTCAAAAGTAAATATGTAAGAGAAAATTCATTTGACAAATAAATTTTACAAAACAATGAGAGATTGTCGTTCAAGTATGTCTAAATACAGATTAAAATAGTGGTTGAGAAAAAAGCATTGGTCAACTTCATTGTGAGCATTACCTGAGCTTGTTACACAATAGCCCAAAGAGCTTGAATAAATGTACCCTGAGATACACTGACATGTTCCACTAATACAGCCAGCATTGGTTGGGCATGTTCTTGTTGGATTTATGCAAGCTTGGTTAATTCCAGCTAAAATAATCAACATTTAAATAACACATTACTAATATTTAAAATCTAGCCAGATTTGTAAAGCAAAACTGTTTACAGCAAGAAATAAAAAGCCAGATTTCACATTATATTAGTGTACAGGACACAAAAAAGTTAAGGTAAAATGGCAAAAAAACTCCCAAACAAAATACACATCATGCATGCTAATAATGGTGATGGAATTAAGTAAAAAATGTTCAGGCAAGTAAAGAATGTGCTTCAAACAATTTTGATAAATCAAATGGGCCACATAAAAAAGTCCTAATTTTGACTTTTATAGCATAAAAATGGTTGTAGGAAAGCCTAGAAACAAAAAGACATAAAGATATTTAAGTCATTTCTGAAATACCCTTTGCAAGGATTGTGAGCATTACCTGAGCTTGATACACAGTAACCCAAAGAGCTTGAATAAGTGTACCCAGAAATACATTGGCATGTTCCACTAGTACAGCCAGCATTGGTTGGACATGTTCTTGTTGGATTTGTACAAGCCTGGTTAATTCCAGCTAAAATAATCAATTCTTAATTCCTGAGATAATCTACAATCTAGCATAATTGTAAAATAAATCAAAGTATAATCTAGGAAAAAGTTATTTAAAATACTATCAACTAAAAGGTCAAAACAGGGGAAACTATTATGAAGGAACATTGTAGAAGGTTTGTAACACAAAAATTCATTATAATGAGTTTAAAGAAAAAGTTGGTTACACATCCAATCCCCCCTCTCATTTTCCATAGACTGTACTCCCAGGAAAAAAGGTAACCAAGATTTTCAATCAATTTAACTATGAAGCTTCTTTGAGATACCTAATATTTATGACAATATTACATTTTTAGACTGTTTTAAGACATTGTCAGTAAAGTATGCCCCATTCAAATTGAATAATTATGTCCAAATTATCATTTTGTAAGCCTTATTTTCCAACAACTGTTATCATTACCTGAGATTGATACACAGTAACCCAGAGAGCTTGAATAAGTGTATCCAGACAGACACTGACATGTTCCACTAGTACAGGCAGCGTTGGTTGGACATGACCGTGTTGGGTTTATGCAAGCTTGGTTAATTCCAGCTAAAATAATCAATTCTGAATTTCTGAGATCTATAATCAAGCCGGAGTAAATCTCAAGTAATAAATCAAAGTATAAGCTAGGAAAAGTTAAAATACTATCAACAAAAAGGTTTAAACAGGTCCGTGAGGGAACTATAATAAAGGCACATTCTATGTGTTGTAACACAAAAATGCATAATAATGAGTTTAAAGATAATGTTGGTTACATACCCCATCCCCCCTCCAATTTCCCAACAACCACACTCCCAGAAAAAGAGATAAAGTAGATTTTCAATCAGATACACTTTAATTGAACTGTGTAACTATTCAAAGCAATTTCTTTACAAATTCAACTATGTAGCTTCATTGAGATATCACATATTTATGACCAAATCAAATTTTAAGACAGCTGGGTAAAAGTATGCCCCATTTAAATTGAATAATTATATCCAAATTATGATTGTGTAGCAGTACCTAAGTGCAGACACAGTAGATTTTACTAAAAACTAATCTAAATAAAGGTGATTTTGTAAGCCTTATTTTCCAACAACTGTTAACATTACCTGAGCTTATTACACAGTAACCCAGCGAGCTTGAATAAGTGTATCCAGAGATACATTGGCATGTTCCACTTGTACAAGCAGCATTGGTTGGGCATGATCTTGTTGGATTTGTGCAAGCTTGGTTAATTCCAGCTTAAATATGCAACATTTTAATAAGCTTTTATAAATAATGATCTAGAGGGGTAAAAGTGAAATTTCATAATTTATGATATTTCAGTACAGGATACAAATGTGAAGGTAAAAATAAAAACCCACATCATGCATACTTATAATGGTGATAGGGTTGACACTATAAATAAAAAGCTGTGTTTACTGATAAAAACTTAGAATTGAATAATGTTAAGATTGAATTCAATTTATGATTTAAAGTATCATACATAATTATATTCCCCTTAAATTAAAGAAATAGCTAGCTAAGCTACACTGACCCACCTTTACACTTTTACATTGCCACCCAAAAACCTGACCCCTCTTCGTTTTGTAAACAGAAAGTCTTTTTACAGGAGTTGTGAGCATTACCTGAGCTTATTACACAGTAACCCAGTGAGCTTGAATAAATGTACCCAGAGTTACACTGACATATTCCACTAGTACAACCAGCATTGGTAGGGCAAGTTCTTGTTGGGTTTATGCAAGCTTGGTTAATTCCAGCTAAAACAATTAACATTTTTTCTAACATATATTATAATCTAGCAAGGGTTGTGAAATTCAAATCATATAATCTAGGAAAAGCTAAAATACTATAATGAACTATACTTTAGTGTGTAAAGGGAAGGAAAACATTGTAAAGACAAAAATCAAGCAGGTGTGATACTTAAATGAATTTAATAAAATTTAAAATAAGCTGGTTACATACGGTTTCATGATTTTAAGGGTGGTGAAATTCAAATCCTACACTACAGGAAAAGTTAAATACCATTATGAACTATACTTAAGTGTTAAGAGGGAAAAAACTATTGTTAAGACAAAAATCAAACATGTATGTTACTTAAATGAATCAAATAAGTTTTAAAACAAGCTTGTTACTGAGTTACACATGGTTTCATGATTTTACCCCTTCCACCTTAACTAAATTAACTAAATTGTATAACTATTTATAGCAGTTTTGCCTTAAATCATTTGTGTTACTTTATCAGAAATTAATGTATTAATTTCAATTTAATTGTGAGATTGTAATTAAAGTATACCCAATTGAAACTGGGCAGCTTTATTGACTTTTTTCACTGGAAGAGCCACACTAACACTTACAAAGAAGATATTTGGAATCAAAGTCATTATTTTGCAATAAATGTCATTTTTATCAAAATATTTTTACAAACATAATGAACATTACCTAAGCTTGATATACAGTAGCCCAAAGAATTTGAATAAGTGTACCCAGAGTTACATTGACATGTTCCACTAGTACAGGCAGCATTGGTTGGACATGACCTTGATGGGTTTGTGCAAGCTTGGTTAATTCCAGCTAAAATAATCAACATTTATTTTCTAACATATACTATAATCCAGCAGGTGATATAAAAATGAATGAAAGCAAATATAGAATAATAAACTATACTTAAGGGTAAAGGGAAGGAAAACATTTGAAAGACGAATACTTCATGATATTAGACATACACTAGCATTGGATATAACACTAAAATGTGATTTATAACTTTCTAGAAAGGCTGTTACTTGATGACCCTAAAAAATTAATCAGTGAGGATTTCCTACAAGTATCCCTAAATCTAAAATATATAACAGCTTTGAGAGATTGATTATACTGAGTGCATAATTTGAATTCTTTTGATATGACCAAAACATACAAGATGTGTAACAATTTTGACTATTTCACTATAAAGTTGAAGGATTTATACGGTAAACAAACATAATGAAAATCATTTATAAAATTGAATGTACAAAGATTCTGTATATTACCTAACATTGATATACAGTAACCTAAAGAACTTGAATAGGTGTACCCAGAGTTACACCGACATGTTCCACTAGTACAGGCAGCATTGGTTGGGCATGACCTTGATGGGTTTGTGCAAGCTTGGTTAATTCCAGCTAAAATAGTCAACATTGTAATTTTGGGTAACATATGATAATCTGGCCATAGTAAGTTTGTCATATTGATTGAAAAGCTAAATGTCATACATTATTATACTACAAAGGATAAAAGTTGCAAAGTCTAGCACAGGGTATAAAACTAAAATATATTTAATAAAGAATTTTGAGACAAACATCATTATATATGCACTAAATGGTAAAAAAAGGAAAAGGGAAAAATGTAAACCAAAAAAAATCTAGAGAAGATGAAAAACTAAAATCTTTGTAATAATAAAATTCCCATAAATAGAAAACAAGTGGATCATGTTTGCCCATTATGCAACTGTGTGACATTCTTTTGAGATTCTGAATCAAGTACCCAAAACTTTCATTCATCAAATATTTTCACTAAATTATGTCTAGCTATGCCTAAAATTTATTTGGCTAACATTTTTTACTACTTCATTGTTAAAGCATTAATACACAGCAAAATGGATTAAACAAAAAAAATGTGAAACACAAAAGTCTCAAGTGAACATGATTTTACAAACATTGTGAACATTACCTGAGCTTGCTATACAGTAACCTAAAGAGCTTGAATATGTGTACCCAGACAGACATTGGCATATTCCACTATTACAGGCAGCATTGGTTGGGCATGACCTTGATGGGTTTATGCATGTTTCACCAATTCCGGCTTAAATAACGAATATTGTAATATTCTATCATATATTATATTCTAGCAGGCATTGTTAAACTATAATATAATATATAAGCTTCTTGCCACACTGTTTGATAAATATTGTTTCCTTAACAATTTTCAAGTGATTGTTAGAAGGTAGGTTTCTTGTGGTGTATAAAATATCATTTAATACTTTCTACACAAAATGTTTTAAATAGGCTTGTCAATCGTTCAATATGGACAAAAACATTTATAATTTCTAGGGAAATTTTCAGAAAATGTACCTACTGAATAGTGAATATTGCAAACCATGATCAGACAACTTCGTCTTTTATGCACCTAGCAAACTAAGAGTTATATCTAAAGGCATGCCAAATATTACAGCACTAAGGGAATAAAATAAGGACAACAAATGTAATACAAAACCTAGCAGGAGTTGGAAATTATGAATGAAAATTTACCTGCATTGGCAACACAGTAACCCAGAGAGCTTGAATATGTGTACCCAGACAGACATTGACATGTTCCACTGGAACAGGCAGCGTTGGTTGGGCAAGTTCTTGTTGGATTTGTGCAAGCTTGGTTAATTCCAACTGAAACAAGAAACATTTTATCACTAAATTAATTTGAGGCCATGAACAAATTTGAGATAGGACAAGCCAAAGATGATTAACGCCAAATTTGATGATGACTACAGGTTTGTTTTGTTTTGTATGGTTTGGTTAACGGTGCACCAACACAATCTAGATCATATGATGCAGAAACAGGTAAGATTATTTTCGGCTATTCTTGGGTGTTACAAACTTAAAGCGACACCAGGGGTCAAAACCACCTCACTTGCTTGAGCAAAGAGATGCATAGACTCAAGTAATTAAACCCCATTCAATCGCCTCTTATGAGTATGCAGGGATAAACAGTGGCTGCATTTCTGATGTCTCAACCCTTAAAGGCAGCTCCGGAGCCACAAGGGGGCCTAGTACAGGTAACCGAAAGAAATTGCTCAAATGTTTCAATATTTTTCACACCAAAGGAGACCAAGCCATTTTTCAGTCTTATGAAAAAAGATCTGCCAGTGATGCTAAGCACTCAAAGTAGTGAAAATCAATCCAATTGAATTAAAAGAATATGATTTGAATTGAAATCACTTTTGCGACAGAAACACATTTAAGGAGCTAAAAAGATTCTGTTTGTTTTGGAAACAGTCTGTTAAAAGTAAGAACAGGGAAAGTTAGTATAGACACTTTCACGGTTTTATAGAAAGAGTCAATGCAAAATATTTTCCTTTGACTCTGAATGGTTCTGCATGATGGCCTCTTTGTCAATTCGGATAATGTATCTAACTAAACATTTACTAACAACATATATATAAATTGTATATTAATTCTTTTGCAGTTTGTTGGTATATTATGTATGATACTAAATGCATGTACTATCAACAGTTAGTATAGTTATTTATGGTTACTGTATTACAGACCTCACATTATAGATCAATTTACTTACAACCTTTGGTTGTGACAAAGCTGAAAAGATTAAAAACTTACCTGAGTTTGTAACACAGTAACCCAGTGAGCTTGAATAGATGTATCCAGACAGACATTGACATGTTCCGCTAGTACAGCCAGCATTGGTTGGACATGTTCTTGTTGGATTTAGGCAAGCTTGGTTAATTCCAGCTGAAAGTTAAACAGATTTTACAGTTAGCAACTTCCTTAATAGCATCAAAACTTGCTATTTGTTGTTTATAGTTGATAGGACCTGTATATATGTTAAAAAAGAGAAAAAATATGTAGATGATAAAGTGATTTTATAGAGAATTCAAAATGAAATCCCCTAAGAAAAAAGGGAAATAAATAAAACAATGTCTAGGGTTGTTAAACAAAAGTCTTCAAGATGGTGAATTATAAACCGCTAGCAAATCATACTGTACACAGCTTACAAAACATTCATGTACATATCACTCTGTCAATTATGCATGCATTATATAGCATACATTTCAAAATTTAATCCAAACATAGTTTACTGTATACCAAACATTTGAAATATATAAATGTATTCAATTGCATTGTCCCAAGTTAACATCCAACAAAAAAAAATGTTCCTTTATGTATTATTAGTGCTTACAATATGATCAGTAATTGGACAATACATAATTATATATGATTTAACTTGTTTCCTTTTTTTTTAAAACTAATGTTGTTCATGAATATGAGAATCTCGGTAAATGAAAAATTACATCCTGAATTATATGGAAGGGTTCAAACATTTCAAGATTAATATACAATGCACCAAAAATCATGTTAAATTTCAAAACAAACAGTATAATATAAGAAAATTTCTGCAATCTACAGGTTTATACATTACAAGTTTGCTACTAATCATCAATTAATAAAGCAATACAAATCTTATACTGTGAAATCATTAATTTTGCATGGTAAGTTTCCCTAGTATGATTGTAGGATAGATTATCTATACCCCCCACGCCACTTCCCGCTCATTGACATTGCAATTTTTTAAAACTTAACCTGCTGAATTTGTATATTGGATTTGCCCAGCTTTGAATTCGGAACAGTCCATTAGTGGTTTATGGGATTTCAATATCAAAGGTATAAATTGGAGTGTCCAGCTGCTTTAACATCTATGCCTGGCCAGACAGGACAGACGTGTTGGCTGGCTTGACTACATACTAGTGGTAAAGGTATATAGCTTTTGGTTTCAGCAGGTTAGGAGATAAACCTGACATGACGCCATGTTGTGGCTTTTATAAAATTGACAGTAACTCACACAGTTGGGCATTTTAACATGAAAAGTAAACCAATCAGCCTTTTCTTAGTACATGTACCTTTCAATGAATATTATAATAACATAATGATTTCACAGTATTTAGCAGCTTTTATACATGTATGTGTACTAGCATTTTACTATGTAATAGTTTATATCTATACTAGGATAAAAAATTTTTAAATATGTTTTAAAACCTTTAACCATCTATATATTTTTATATATGTAATACATTTTTCAATCTAACTGAGTAAAATAAGCACTCAAACATCAGCAACTTTTACAACTGAGGGGAGAATATTATTACCTATATACATAATATAAAATAAACTTAATGCTTTAATTTTGCTAGCTATTATACAACATATATTATTAAGCAGTCTCATTGCTCTTTGAGTAAAGCAGTCATGCATTAAAAACAACATGTAATCATAATTCAACACGACCTTTCCTCCAGAGGTTACAATACATTAGTTATTCACTTCGCTGACATGCAAAAAGTACATGTATTTCATGAGCAGTTTCAGTTAAAACTATCAAGATTGGAATATTAGGCAGTGATTATTTTGATCATGTCTGATCTAAATGCCATGATCAGGCAAACTTTATAGCTTTGGATGTATGAACAGATGCTAAGGCAACTTTACAAAATGTTATTGCAAGTAGGCTGTAGGCAAAGCTAATATTGCAAAGAATTTTTTTTTGTAACTTGGTTGACACTGTTAAATGATCAAGTTGTCAAGGTCAACGACAATACTGTGAATACATGTTGTAAAGAATATTTTGATAATCTGATAGACTGTGTGACCTTACAGTTTTTACAGTTTTAAATCACCTATTAGACAAATTGCTTTGCAGACTTCTGCTCTATGATTATTGATATAATAAACTCAGCATTTTGTTTTGTTTTGATCTTTAAACAAGACAGTGCTTTTAAAATGATTATTTGTTTATTTTTTTTCAAAAATTAAATGGTAAGATTTCCAACTATTTAACAAAACATAAAAATGTTATGTGTAATACAAATACAAATATGTTACGTCTAATTCAGGTAATTTTGAAAGTATAACATATTTTTTATAATACAAGTAATTGATATGCCATCAAACAAACTAACTTAGGCCTAACATGCCTAACCTTCTTCAGAAAGGTCATGATGAGCAAGACAGTACAAATATTTTCCCGTTATCCCTAGCTATATGTTTTTAGGGTGACACATGCAATCTTACCTGGAGTTATTACACAAACAGATCCCGATCTAGAGTAACCAGTATTACACACACATATACTACCATTACAATTTGAGTTAGTTATATAACATGTTCGTGTAGGACTCACACACGATTCTCCTAAAAATGCTGTAACAAAAACATCACTTTTGTCTCAACTGATCATCTTTTAAAGGATGAAGCCATGCTCCAATATAAGACATTATGAGCATGCTCCTCTTTAGTAATACACTAAGATCTAAAATATAACATAATTATATTTAACTGATCAACTTTAAAAGAAAAACATGCTTAATTATAACACATTTAGAATTCAAACATGATTTTATTTAATGTAAATGGTTTACCCCACATTTAGAGATTAAAAATATACGTATATTTGAATTGATCATCTTAAAACGGAAGCATGTCTTCAACAATAGAGCATGACTTCTGATGCGCAAAATGTTAATCTAAGGGGATTGAAAAAAACATTGCAGTTGCACTGTCATTTGTGAGCATTTTAAAACATTGCCTAGCAGTGAGCGCGTCAAGCAGTGTCACAATAACACCAAAGTGATCTACATTAATAAACAATAAACCAGGCTTTCAAACCATAATATATGTGCAAAAAAAGGGCAAACAAAATGAGTCTGATGAGGTTTTTTGTCAAATTTGGTACCTCTCAGAGTCACTTATTCAAAAACTTATCTTTTCCAAAGGCAACCTGCCAGCCCACCAATCGACATTTACCGATTTAATATACAGAATCTAATTAACAGAATATTTCATTGGAAACCCTTGTTCATTAAATATTAATCTTGCATGTTGGATTTTTTGTGTCGGTCACATCTGAGTACTTATAGAGAATTTTTAACTAGAAAACATAATCCGTAACAAAGTTTTTGAAAATAAATGGTGAGCAAATGGCAAAATAAACTTTCCCATCAAAAATGTAGCAGTGCTTTAATATTTTGATTAACAATGTGAAAATTATTTGAAATCTACTCTTTGATCCACCAATTTGTATAAAGAGAATGTCACATAAATTTCGAGTTTATTATTCAGATTATGAGAATATACTACAACGTATATCTTTAAACAAACCAATTGTAAAAAAAAAACCTGCGACCTTGACCCTTTTAAATCTGCATAACGGTCTTGCCCCATCCCCAGCACACTTCAACCCCTACCTTAGGCCTCCTTGTTCTAGAAATAATCCATGATTACTTCAAAGGGTTTTAATATCAAAATGTTAGAATTTAGACATGGTCGACTGTGTGACATCAATGAAAGCCTGCAGACAGCCCTGGTTCTACACTGGTGACCAAGGCAAATCATACCAATATTTAAGGTCATAGAAACATTTGGTGGATCAAAAAGCAGTTAAATGGGTGATATAGAAAGATATATGTTTGTTAGTAAGTTACTCTATATATGCAACAAACTTTTGATAAGAACATTAAATCTAAAGAGGAAAACATCTAAAGATATCTGCATGCATATGACAAAATTGTAAAGGCTGTCTATATTAATGTGACAGTGAGGAAATTA